CAGAAAGCAATCTGACTGGATCAGTTCAATAGATTGATATGTGAAGAGTAAGATATTGAACTTTAAAATTGGAATGCGATATATTTCAATCTTAGAGATTCTTGGATATTTGAAAATTTTCAAAATACTTAAGCTGAATCTTGGATACCTCGAAGGAATTGTGATTGTGATTGGAATAATAATAAGAAAGTCTTCTGATGAGAATTTATGAGGATCTCTAAATCGAGTTTATGCGGAATTCTGATACATAACAATCAATTCTGAGAAGAAATCCAAGCGAATCAAATCCTAATTATAGCTTTAAATAGGATCTGAAGAAGATAAACATTTTAAGGATTATTTCATGGGATTTTAGGAGTCAACTCTAAGAAATATTCCAAATATAGTTCCAAAGAAGAGTTTCAAGAGAATTTAGAGAACAAATCCAAAAGAACTTAAAAACTACTTTAAAGAAAATCCTGATGAGTATTTCATGGTTTTTATTGAAAAACAATCTAAGATAATGTGAGAGTAAGATTCCAGTACCATTCTGATAAAATTGGCATGTCAACTTTAAGGGACACGGAAATTTCCATAGGGTATTGAGTTGAGGTGAGGTGAATTGAGGTAAGGTAAGGAGAAGTAAGGCGAAGTGTGGTGAGGTGTGGTTAGGTGAGGTGAAGTTAGTTGAAGTTAAATGAGGAGAGGTTAGGAGGATTTAAGTGAGGGGAAGTTACATGAGGTGAGTTGAAGTGAGATGAGTTGAGGTAAGAAGAATGGAGGTGAGGTGAAGCGATTTGGGGTGAGTGAGGTGTGGCGAATTGTGGTAAGGTGTGGAGAAGTGAGCGGAAATGAGACGAGATGACATGAGATGTGGTTAGAAAAATTGAGCAGAAGTGAAGAGAGGTGGGCTGAGTGAGATGAAGCGAATTGAGTTGAGGTAAGTTGATGTGAGGTGAAGTGATACGAGGTGAGATGAGGTAAGATGAGATGAGATAAGTGTGGTAGATAGAGTTGAGCAAGAAATAATAATAATAATAAGTGTGGGTAATTCTTGTTCAAATATGAGGTGAGGTAATATAAGAAACGATGTGATGAGATGAAATACATTGAGTTGAGTAGAGGTGATATGAGGTAAGGTGAGGTGAGGAGTGTTAAGATGAAGTGATTTACTTTTGTGCCTGTAACTTCAAACGGGTTGGTTGAATCTTCAAGATGCAAACATAAAAATTGTTGGAAATTCTAGGCAATTGCTCAAAAACATTAGCCACCGATGGCACAACACGACAAACATATGAAAAGGCTTGTTCACATGAAAAATCATATTTTCCAAATTTACAAATTTATTTTCTAAATATCTCGAAAATGAAATTTAGAAAGATGATCACCGTGAGCATTTTTGTTCCAAAAGACATCATAAATCGTTTTTTTTTCCTTGATTTATTTTCCGTCTATATTGTTTTCCGTGATGAGCACCAATGCTGCCGACGCCAGGGAGGCAACTCTCACACCTGGACCCTACCTATCGACCCATCAGCTCACGAACCGGGGACCAACGGCTTTACTTCCCTTCCGAAGGAACGCGTGATTGAACCCAGACCTGCTGGGGTGAGAGGTAATCACGCTTACCACAATACCACCGCTAACCATCTTCTGCTTCATCTTCATCCATTTTCACTCCATCTTCTTCGATTTCCTCTAGGTCTGTATTGCCATTCAGCATCTTCTTCATTCGTCCGAAATAGATTAGACACGTACCAACTCATCAATTTTGTACGCGGGTTCGTGGCTAGGATAAATATTTTCCGCGAACACGGCGGCAGATGTCAGTTTTGTACTTTGATAAGAAATTTCTTTGTATGATCATTCATGTCGGTTTGTCGGTGCTTGAGCAACTTACATCGTAACCGACAGATCTAAGTGAGAGAGAGAACGTACTAAGATAGTTTTTTTTTCACGACGTAAATGAAAGATGACTGTCTTCATACGGAATTTGTCATGCGCTGTTTGGAGTGCGACGAAGATAGTAATAGAATATTTTTCATGATTGACTTTGCTCTCTCTACGTTTTTGCAAGACAGCCCTGCCCACAGTATTCACATGTTCAGTAGAAACTCGTGCGTAAACCTAGTATGACCTATGCGCAGACGAGTAAGTAAGCGTTGATCGGCAGAACTGTACTGATCGATCCACTTCTTCGTTTCCCCTTTGACCTCCTTCAGTTTGACATCTTCCCATTGCTGACGAAAGACTTGGTTCATGTTATTGATGGCAGCATTCCTTGGAACAGCGATGTTGTTTGGTGGACTGTTTCGTGCTTCTGCTTCTGCTTCTTCGTTACCGCGGATTCTGGCATGACCAGGGATCCAACAAAGGTGCGAATAAGTGCTCGATTTCCTGGATCCACGGATGCTGCAATCTTCCACTCTCTATGGTTGAAAGACTACACTGTGACGGAAGACCTATTGCTTGCTGAATGATGTTGCCAAATACACCTGCTCCAACTATGTTCTCGCACTTAGAGCCATGGCTGCAGCCGTATAAATGGCCATAGCACAGTAAAACCAGTTTGCCAGCAACTCCTGCACGATGGGACTCACTGTATTCGGGAGATCCCTAGCTTTCACCTGCCGTTTCACATACCAAACAATATGCGGTTTGGGTTCATACTCGCGATGTTTGGGAGCTCCACATCAACCATCTCAGGCGATAGGACGCTCGTTCCATAACTGAAAGATTGATATTCCTGGAATCTTTCTCCATCAAACAAATTTCGAACACGAATTATAGCGTGCAGAACTATTAGATCGATCCGCAATGTGCCTGCTTTAGCCATGATCGCTGGAATCGAACCAGACCATCCGGTTGTAGATGGGTGCAAGAGTCTGCACCACCGAATCTTGTGCTCTACTGACGAGCCCGATACCGTAGATAAGTCGCGATGTGACGATTGTCGATGCCCCAATCATCTTCAAGATCCGCAGCCTACAGTCGCACGTGGTTTTGACTATCTTGCAATGGTGTTTGAAGTACAGTGACCGGTTAAGGTTGACGCCAAGAACATTCAGTTGATTCGTCCTCGGTACAGCTGCACGGTCGATGAAGATATCGTTGCTGGATTCTCGACGGTTTTCGCCCACTTGTCAACAGCTTTCCCAGCAGCCTGTAGATCTCGATGTATAGGACGCTCCTTATTCCTCCGTACCACCAGCAAAATATTGTCCGCATACAGAAGCACGGTGACAGAATGCGGCACCACTCTGAAAATCGGCTGCATCGCAATAAGGAATAACGTAACGGACAACACGGACCCTCGCTGGACTCCGTTCTCCAATGACATTTCACCCGATAAATGTTCTTCCACGTTCACCCGGAAAGACCTGTTGAACACGCACCCACCGATCTGCCACTTCCGCAAGCGATCAAGCGATCAAGCGATGCTATCCAGCAGTGTTCGTCCCGATTTGGCAATGACCTTTCCAACTCGGCCAAGTATGTATCAACGCCTCTCGTCCAGTCGTTCATTCGATTCCAACTCAGTCCTCAATCTGCGGTTTACGATACGTTCGAACAACTTTGCGATACAGTTGGTCAAAGTGATAGGCCGGAAAGCAGCAGGTCCAGATTCAGAACAGTTTGGCTTCGGAATCGGCACTGTTATTCCGGGTAAACGTCACTACGCCAGAGTCTGTTTAGAAGCTGCAACAGTCGCGATGCCAGGAAGCAAATCCACACGATCCCGTTCCGCTCTTTCCTTCGCTGTTTGAATCAGTTGAGGATAGCTTGAGGTTGCCGATCTCTCACAGTAGTGCTTCTCCGGGTAGCCATCGGGTCGCTTGACAACCGCCTTGCTGTATTGTTGTTTGCCTCTCAGGGTGTTCATCGTCCGCCACATTTCTGCCGTTGTGCTGCTATGTGATATTTTTCCGACAAAGTCCTCCCACGAATGTTCCTTAGCTTCCTTCACTGCCTTCTTAGCCGCTGCCTTCGCTTCCTGGAACTGCTTCAAAACATCCGCTGTGTCAGATCCTGTTGTTCTGCTGCGCTTCAGTGCTCTCAGAAGTTTACGACGCCGCTTAATCGCCGTTTTCACTTCTGGGAACCACAACGGTACCGATTTGGGACCATCTCGTCCTGATGTTCAAGGAACGCTAGCGTTTGCTGCTGATAATATCCAATCGACAAACTTATCAACGCCAATCTCGTCATCCGGTTTGATGCTGCTGAAAGTCAGTCGTTCGAACGATGTCCAATCCAATTGGCCGTATAGCCGTCTTCTCCGTTTCGTGGTGACCTGTGAGCATTCAGGTGAAGAGACGGTGCTTGGAAAGTGTCCGCTGCTGTGTGTGCTAGTACCTCCGAACTGATCGATAGATCTATGGTAGAAGATGAACTAGTTGCTGGATCAACCCGTGTGTGCGATCCGTCGTTCAAGATTATCAGCTGTTCCTTCAGTGTTTTTTCAGCGATGTAGCGGCCGACCGCATTCGATGCTGAAGAACCCCAGGCGAGGTGGTGCGCATTGAAGTCGCCAAGTACCAACATTGACGTGAGCAGACGGTCCAAGAAATCATTTAGTTCTGTTGGGCACAGTTGCTGAAATTCGTAGGTCGGCGTCGGAAGATGGATGCGAACTGTAATGGCTTGAATATCATAATCGATAACAATGCGCTTGAATGGAACTCTCTCACGGATGGCAATAATAATTTCCTAACACTTCACTTCTTTCTATGATGCTTAGTTCATGAGTTATATATTTCCAAAGTACGTGATGTTCATGAATTTCAGCTAAAATGTTGAACATTGGTACTGCTTTCACTAAGTGTCTATTCGTTCCAGACATGGCAGGTTAAATATTTAAGAGACTATCCACTTCTGTAGAATACATCATCGGAAAAGTGTCATCTTTTTTCCAACTGAGACTTGAGTTTTTTCCACGTAAATGTCTCCTTGAGTTTTTCGGAAACCATCGAAAAGTCCCCAAATTAACCACCCGAACCACCCGACCCAACCCAACCTACCTTTATAGTGAACGTCCTTGTACATAGTTGGACATATTTTTCCCCCCTTTTCCTGTTTATTTCGAAAGTCAATGTTCGTCCGCACGGGACGATGCAGCAGCGGTTGCGGTGGCCGGAAGTTGTTCCCCAGCGGTGCCTTCGGGTGGTCAATGGCACCCTGCATCAGCCTCCGGAATCCATGGAGCTGCATGTGAGAATGGTAAATCGAGTGAATCCTCTGAAAAAGTTCAACCAAAGTCCACGCAATTACCTGCTGCTTGGTGATGTAGATCGGTTTGTTCATCACAATCCAGGTGACCGTCTCGTGGCACGCCGGTGCCGTCGTTGAGCCTTCGTAAGTCATATAGTGCTCCGTGTCCGGCAGGAGATCTCTCACCGAGAGCCTCCGAATGGGTACCGTTGCCCCACCGAATCGGATCTTATCTAGCTGGTCTGTTAGCATTCGCAGCTCCGGACTGGAAAGATCGCCCAGCTGGACCAGAATGGCAACGCCGACGATTCCCTGCGCCCGGAAAACCGCATCGCTAAAGTTGGCGTACAGTTGCGAGTTGTAGCCGAAGATTTGAATCTGAAATGAAAATAAATGTCTTACATATTGGTGGATTGGTTGCGAGTAAAGTCGGACTAACCTCCGCTGGGAAGGTGTAGCCTTCCACGCTGTGCTCGGAGCCGAACTGATCGTGAAGTCCGTAGTGGACGTGAATCTCATGGAAGCGATACCGATAGGACAGGGGTCCTCCGGTTAGGTTCACCGGCACCTGCAGTATCCCACTGGAGGGCGCCGTCTCGTTGTTGACCGTGAAGATTACGCTGTGTCCGGTGTTGGCTATCGATCCACTCACCTGAAAGTGGTATGGTTTAATTTTTTTATTTAATTCAATCCCCATTTAAAGGCGGAATCGTACTCACTCGGTGTTTGTCGATATGCACGGGTCGTAGGTTTGGATCGAACAGAAGCCGCTGTGGTTCCAGGTTCACCGGACTCTGCCGGCGGCCTTTGTTGCACAGGGACCATTCCGGGTTGATTAGGCCCCAGAAGGCTGGACCTGGAGTATAATGAGAGAAAGGAGAGAGAAATCCATTAGCGTCTGAAGGCAATCAGATTGCCTTGAGAATTATCGATTCGCGATTGCGAGGTGAATTTTTGTTACGTCATGATACAATATCAGGTTGATGGGCAACTGATGGCGGAAGTGGTATCAATAGCGTGATGAGAAATGTGGCGTCATGATGTTGTTTGATACTTAATCTTCGTAGGCTGCCTGTCTGCAACATTGCAAAACATCAGCGATGTTTTGTGAGAGCTGATATTCGTGCTCTTGAAATGTTGAGGTGGTAATGAAATTAATCAGAAGAAAAAAATGCACTCACAAAAACGGGGTGCACAATTTTGCACCAATATTATGCAACATTTCGTAGTTGATCGGGAATATCTCCATTAGAAAGTTGACGGAGAGAATCGATCAAAGCAGATAGGATCTTTTGAATTCGACAGTGAGCATGAACGCGATGATCGATTCTCTTCGTCAATTTTCTCTTTTGTAATAATTCGCTAGAATTAACGTTTCCCGGTGCGTTTGCTGTTACAACTCTGCATTGAACAAATTCTAGTTTTTCAATTCTCATGTGATTTGATGTGTCGCATGATGAGTTTGCAATCTTCAGAACCAGTTGACCGAATCCAATAGAATTCAGTAGCGTTTAGTGGGACCACAGTACCTTTCCTTTGGCGCTAGTTGTGTCCACTTCGGTATAACGGTTGCTGAGAAACATGAGTGTACTTATTTCATTACACACCTGCACTCACACACACATGCATTTTCCGATATCGTCGAATTGATTGGTATGAAACACTCGGTCTCGGATCGAAAGTCGGTTTTCCAAGCGGTATACCCTTCTTTGTAAAAATGGTAAAACAACAGAAAAATCCTCCAGAACAGAACCCAAGTAACAGTTTGCGTTTTACGATGGTTCTGTGGAGCATGATTTAGACTTGTCGAATGCGTACACGATTTAGACTTCTAGAAAACCACGTTCAAACTTGCAATGTTAGTTGGGAAGCTTCCACAAAAATGTCCATCAGATAATTCAGATGTTCCCTGCCTGATCCTTAGCTTGCGACAACGTTGCCGGCAGCAACAGCAGCACTGGTAGCGCAATAGAGCTGGAACTCCACCAGTATCGTTTCGTATCGTACCGTTCTCGTTTCAGAGACAATCGAGCAAATAAATCGGTTTGTTTTGCAGAAGAAATCCCAACACCGAAAGAAAACAAAACAAAAGTTGAGTGGGACATCTGTCAAACTGGTTTGAAACAGTGCTTGCATTGATCTAATTCAGTTCAAAATAGATCGAGAATTGTACTGGTTTTCAAAAAATACATTTTATAACTAGTCTAAACAAAATGCAGACCACCAGTGCAAGGGATTGGTCTGGAGCTGTCCCAAAAATTTAGACCAAACCAGCCAATTAGACCGCCGTTATGGATTCCCTCAGTCTTCATACTTAAGCCCGGTTTTGACTAAAAGCCCTCTAGTTAAAGTATGGACGACTGTCACCACAAAACTGAAAAAAGCTGTTCCAATTTAGCAAAGCGGTGCATTTTGACGGTTCGATTGGAACAAGTTTTGACAAACGTCCGTACTTTTACAGTAGGGCTTTAGTTTAGACTAATAATTTCAGAAATACGTCTCTTGATAACAGAAGGCAGAAGTTCGGAATCCGATGGCGAACCGTTTGTGCATAGTAAAGGTACCGCTCGATGGTAGAAAGTGATCACAAAGTTTTTTTCCGGCCTCAGAGCAGAAGAGTGAGTCTCGGTCGAGTTTCGTTTGCGTGCATTGCGAGGAAGGCGAAGGAAAAAACTACAAGGGACAGCCCTACCCAAGTAACAATTCAAGCTGAACATTAAGCACAGAAGCTGATTATTGGTTGATTTAAGGTGTACAAAGCTGATAAACATCAGGCTGAATATATAGTTGATAAGTAGTGCATAGTATCCCCATAATCCAACCTCAATAGGTTAGCTGATCCAAAGATTATTTAAGCTTAGCACAACTCCACAAATCAGCAATGCGTTACACATATTTAGATAGCTTGATTTGTTAAATGTCGTCAGTGTCTGTGTCACTCGTTGCATGTCCGGCATTTTAGTTCTACCTTTCTAATCACAAGCTGTGGCAGCAGTAGAGACAAAGATGAGGAGATTTGTAGGAATAGTTCCAGGTACTTCTGTGTTTTGACTGTTCACCACTTTATATTGCACTGAATTTTCAGACCGCTTTCCAAAACTATTACTCAATTATGGCACTAAAATAGCATCCAAATGACCATCAAAATAAATCGCGTGATTGTATCACCATTGTGCTAAGTGCACTTGAAAATGAGAGGAATGTTCAACTAATACTCTTCGGGTTGCTGTTATTCAACTTAAATTTGACGTGCTTCAAGTTAATGATCATACCTTTTACCACAGATATGCCTAAATGGTCCAGTAGGTATGGTTGACGCCTATTGTAGAAACGTCTGGTTCGGTCCGAGGTACAACTGATAATGAATATTTATTCTCATGCTTTAAGGTTGTTACAAAACCAATGGTTGCTTAGATCCTACATTCCCTCCTTAAGTTTAATATTTTAAAAATTTAATATATTCAAAGTTTATAATCTGCTAAGTACTTAGGTACATGTTTCGAGCGCTTGCTGGTAGCTCGGCTAGTCTCAAGGGCGTTTTCGACCATCGCATCGTGAGACCATCTGAGGTTCCGTAGTAGTTTGGCTGGTAGAGGGTTGTTCCGTTGGATTCGTAGTACGTTCAGCAGCAGTTGGAATGGCTGGTCCCATGTCATCTTCTTCTTGTGTGCCCTCAGAGGTTTTATGATTATCTGCGTCATTCTCCTGTTTCATCATGGGATTCGCATTTAGGATTCGTTTGGTGTGGTTCACGTGTCGATTGGAGATCACACTGCATTTAATGTTCTTCAAGTGGAGCCGTGATCCGTCGCGTTGTATCACAAGATGAGGTTCGGGGTTGAAAGTGGTTGTTAGCTTATTTTTCTTGACAAAATTTTTCACAATCACATAATCGCCAACATCGATATTGCATTGCTTAGCTCTCCTTTTTGAATCCCCATACATTCTTCCTTTTTCTTTCGCCTTCCTATCGTTTTCTCTTGCTTCAGTTTCATTGACTGGTCTTGAGTTTCCTGGTATTTTATCCCGAATGTTCCACCCAAACATCAATTCCGACGGTGAAAACTTTGTTATGCTGTGAGGTGTTGCTCGGTAAGAGTGAAGAAAATCTTGTAGATCATACCGCCAATTACGTCCCATAGTACAGCTTATTTTCAAGGTCTTCAATAAATGCCTCTCGACCAATCCATTTTGAAAAGCTGCATAAGGAACTGTATGCTTGATTGAGATTGCATTTGTATGACAAAAATTCAAGAATTCTGCTGAAGAAAATGGCTGACCATTATCGCAAACAACTTCAATAGGATAGCCGAACCTTGCAAAAATTTCCCTCATTTTAGTGACTGTTACTTTTGCTGTCATTGAAGTAAGTATAGCAACTTCAACGTACCGGGAGTAGTAGTCTGTCGCTGCAAGCAAATGGTAACCGCCAGGAATTTCCATGAAATCCACCGCTATTTTCTTCCACGGTCCGTTAGGCATCTCGGTTCTTGTTATAGGAAGTGTATCAGGTTCTGATACAAGCGTACATCCTGTGCAAGATTGGACGAATTTCTCTACCATAGAGTCCATCCTAGTCCACCATACTTTAGATCGTAGTCGACGTTTCATTGCTGCAATTCCAAGGTGAGGTTCGTGTGCAAGCTTCAAAATTTGGGTTTGTAGGATTCGAGGAATTACAATTCTTTGATGAAAACAGCAGCGGGAAAAGTGTCCCACTTGACCACAACTTCTGCATTAGAGTGATTTGGCTGGACACGATGGATCTTTCGAATCATGTCTGCCATTGCATCGGAAACATCTGAACCGCCTTGGTCCTCCGAGTTTGGAGCGTACCTTCAAAATTGACTCTTCATTGGCCTCCGTTTCGACAGCGCTGACTTTTTGTAAGTTTCCGTTCCGATTGTCCAAATCGCTCATCTGTATTTGAACAGACTCGTGGGTACGACCGATCGCTACGATCTCCTTGAAGTTAAAGTCTTTTTCCAGGCACTTCCTCTTCAGACTCACATCCGTTGTAGTTGTAATAATTTGGTCAGCTACCATGCTTTCCAGCTGATCTCCAAAATCACAGTAGGCTGCCTGCTTTTTCAGTCTGATGACAAAAGTGTCAAACTTTTCACCTACAGCTGGTTTCATCTCGCGGAACTTCTGACGTTCGAACGTTTTCGAGAGTCTCGGTACAAAGTAATCGTCCAACATTGACATGGCAATGTGGTACCGGTTCTCCATAGCGTGTGATTCGTCAACATGAACTTGCTTGACCACTTTCCGGATGTCTGGTCCACCGAACATCATCAGGGATTTGAATTTTTCCTCCTGATTGTCAACGTCTTTCCATGCTAGGTATGCTTCAAAATGTTCACGCCACTTCTCCCAGCGGGCAGACACTGGTCCGTCGGCATCTTCGGTAAACGGAGGGATCAACTGGTTTACCTAGAAAACACGCATTTTAAGGTACTTTACGAGCTACACTACGTCTGTGACGTATTTTTATCAAAATTCATGTGATCTGCGTACTACACAAAACTCAGGTTCCGCACTGAAATACATATACACAGTACCACTCTGCGTACTTCATCCCAAATGTTGGGTTCCGCATTTAACATTCTCTAAGTTCAGATTTACTGCGTACTACATCCGTAAACGTCGGATTCCGCTTAAAATATCTCATATTTTCCTGCGTACTTCATTCCAAACGAAAGGTTCCATCCTCGTAGCCAAAATGTAGAAACGTCTGGTTCGGTCCGAGGTACAACTGATAATGAATATTTATTCTCATGCTTTAAGGTTGTTACAAAACCAATGGTTGCTTAGATCCTACACCTATGAATCAGTGACTTCCGTTTCGAATCC